CAAAAATTGAAAAATCAAATAATACCTTGAACAATTTTAACCCACCCACGCCAGCTTGTTCGCTGTCCCCACCAGAGTCACCGCATGGTTATTTTCCCGAATCATGTGAATCAATCAACCCCCTTTTGTCGCGACCGGTACCCTGGTATAATAATAATGATGAAACCAAGTCTCGAAAATTTAACGGGAAAACCGAAGATATGGACTTGGACCATACTTTTTATGGGCATGATCTTTCCATATCGCAAGGGCGTAGATGGTAGAGAAAAATACATGAGTTTTATTTCTTAATGACACATGATTTCGATCGGCGGTTCGCTTTTCATACATAAATTTTATTTATTCATATTATTCGAAAATTAAGTCGTAATTGTAATCGCTAGATAGAGGGCGAAATGAGGCACGAAAATTATAGACAAGATTTCTAAATCGGCATTAAACAAAAAATTAAGTTATAATCAAAATATTCAATAAGAACCCAACAAGATTAACTATAACGTATTTTAATTCCTTTTTTCGTCAGGGGCCCCATCCCACATATGGTATGTTCCTTATCAACGCATCAACCCAACTTTTTTTAAAATAAAAATAAACAATAGAATCTCTCTTCTCTTATGCCTTTTTTTTTTATATACAATTCGTTTCTTCCTATCATATCGTTTTTTATTATTATTTCCTTTCTAATCGTGTTTCGTAACTAGCACTATTTTCTTCCCTGATTAATCGAAAACGTCTTGTTTGGCCATTATTCAACAAATAACAACGATTTCTATTCATATATGTTGTAAAAAGAAAAAAACAATTAGAATATTAATACGAGGTTTTACCAAAAAAAAAAAAAACAAAACAAAACAAAACAAAAAAGCTTTATTTGTATACTAAAAAAAATTCGAACTTAATTACATCTATCGTTCTGAGCTTTTTTCTTTTGTAAAATATGAAATTAAATTGGCAAAATTTGGTACAGGATTTATAGGATTTGTGATCTTTTCTATACATATTGGAGAAATTTTCGATCAGAAATCAATGGTCACAGCCGTTTTTTTTTTTTTGTTATTGTTGTTACATCGATCTTATATCTTATCTCAATCGCGGTAGTCTCCAGTGCTGTTATATATTGACACTCAAGGATGAAGGTACTAATGACTCGACGCAGGCGCAAGTCGGCCGATTTATAAGATCATGTAGGAACGGGTATATGTGATCACT